TACATGCACCGGGCTTGTCGGTGCGAACATGCGTTTACGCATTAGTCTTGAAGCAATCAGGCCGTTATCTGTATGAATGGTTGTTGTTTTACATTTACCTTGTGTACTTTTTCTAAATAATCAAATATTTTTCACAAAGAATCATTGGCAGCGCGCACCAGGTGGGCGTGTACGATCATGCGTTTTTGCAGTATTTCGTGCTGTAGTAAGATCGCATGGAAACCTAATAGCTAGAAGTTGACATATTGGACCTTGAAATTCCGTAAATTAATTGTGCAACTACGTGTTACTTGGGCAAGGAACACTCGTTAAAATCTCAGCTTTGCAACTTTTCTGATTCTCGAGTTAGCAATTTTTCCGCCAAAATGCTTCATGTATCCGTACGTGAGAACCACATATACCTGGGATCTGACTTTGATACTTTTAAATTGTAAGGGGTCTGGGAATATCTCCTGAAAATTTCGGCTTTCTTGTTTCCCTGGTTCCCGAGTTAACGATTCTTCCCACCAAAAATTTTCATCAGGCCGCACGTGAAAACCACGCACACCTGGGGGCTGAATTTGAAATCCTTAAGTTCCACGGCGAAATTCCAGCCTTCTAGCTTTTCTAGCTCCCGAGCTAGCGATTTCTCCCCCTTCCCCCTCCCTCCCCTGCCACTTCAAAACTTTCGTGGGAATAAAAGTGAGAACCACGTACAACTGATGTTTGAATTTAAAATTCTTGAGTTATACTTGGACGGGAAACATCCCCCTCAAAATCTCAGCTTTTCTGATTCCCCATTTATCGATTTTCGCGCCAAAAAATTTTCTGAAGCCGTACGTGAGTACCGAGCGTAGCCAGGGGCTGAGAATAAAAGTTTTAGGTTTTACGGGACGGGGAACATTCCCTTAAAATTTCAGCTTCCTAACTTTCCTGGCCCCCCAGTTAGCAATTTTCCAGCCAAAAATTTTCAGGGGCCACACATGAGAATTGCGCACGCTTGAAGGCTGGGCTTGAAATTCTTGAGTTCTACGTGGATGGAGGACATTCTCTGAAAATTTCAACCTTCCAGCTTTTCTGATTCCCGAGCTAGCGATTTCCCCCTCAAAAACTTTCATGGCCGTACGTTAGTACCACACGTAACAGGGAGCTGAATTTGAAGTCTTTAGGTTGTATGTGGGTTGGAAACATTCCTTGAAAATTTTAGCCTTCTTGCTTTTCTGGTTCCCAAGTTAACGATTTTCCCGCCAAAATATTGAGGCGCTCGTGCGCGGGGCCTAGACGTGCTTGAGGGTTAGTACCGCGGTCCTGGGGTGGCACTTGGCCGGGGAACCCAGTTGCAAAATTTTGGCGCCGGAGCTTGCTTGGGTACCAAGTTGAAATACCCGGACAGACGTGCACACACACACACACACACACACACACACACACACACACCGGGGTCGTCACAACATGTGTTTTTGCATATATGCAAAAACGCATAAAAACTGATAATCACGTACGCTGGAAGTCCATGCAACTCTATAATTCAGCACCTTCATCACGCCGGCGCCCTTTTCCTTTGCATGCGAAAAGAGGTTGAAACACAGCCAATATGAGTCCAAGTGTTGAATTACAGCATAGAGACCATTCCTGCTGTTAGCGATCTGCATGTTTAGCACAAAAACGCATGATCGCACCGGCAAGTCTGGTGCTTTCCAGTCCGGTCGCATTTGCATTTATGTAAAATAAAAGTGAATGATTTTGTTTAACGGTCATTTCTTGAAAATGACCTAGCTGTTCAGTGAGCAATTTTCCCGCGAATTTTCGCGTGCCCTTATGTGAGAACCACGCATACCTGGAGGCTGAACTTGAAATCCTTAACTTGTACTTGGACGAGGAACATTTTGTTAAAATTGCAGCTTGCCAGGTTTTCTGTTTCCCGAGGGTAAGCCATTTTCTCGTCAAAACTTTTATGCGCCCACGCACTGAGAGCATGCGTACGTGAAGGCCGAGTTTTAAATAATCTTTAAGCCGTACATGGACAGAGAACAGCTCCTCAAAATTTCAACTTTCTAGCTTTTCTGGACTCTGATTTAGCAATTTTCACATCAAAATTTTCGCGTGCTTTTACATAAGGTTCGGACTTACCAGGAATCCGAATTTCAAATGCTTTGATCGTACGTGAGTAGGGAGCATTTTTTTAAAATTCCGGCTTTCCAGGTTTTCTGTTTCCTCATTTATTGAATTTCACGTTAAAATTTTTGTGTGTCCCTACGTGAGACTCGAACATGCTAGGGGCTGAATTTGAAATCTTTTAGTCATATATGAGGAGGGAACATTCTTCTAAATTATCATCTTTCTAGCTCTTTTCATTTCCGAGTTAGCAATTTTCCCGTCAAAATTTCCGCGTGTCCTTACTTGAGACCAAATGGTTCTAAGGGGCTGAATCTAAAATATTTTGGTCGTGCCTTTTTTTGAAATTCTAGCTTTCTAGTTTTTTTTTCTCGAATTAGCTATTTCCCCATTAAAATTATTGTGTGCCCGTGAGATAGTTGACATCGTGTTCGGGGAACTGCACTTGGCCAGGGAACGCGCTGGCAAAATTCCAGCATCAAAGCTTGCGTGGTCGAATTTTTCATGTCGTTCCATAGGGGCGCTGCTAAATAACAAATGATGCATAATACCAAGAACACCTAACATTCTGGGCCATCAGTGTGAGTATTCTGTGCTAGTGGTGTTAGTAGAATGCTCCACGCACCGATAGCAGGAACGTCGCACTCTTCGTTCCTGGGCTGCATACATTCATTTAGTACCCAACGCTTGTTCGATGTATGTGCTTCACCTTTTCGATGGTCGTCCGCTGGTGGGTGCATAATAATGTATTTAAATTCAATTGCATCGTTTGGAATATTCGTTTCGGGGCATAATCTTTAATCAAATTTTATGAATCGCACAGATGCTGGTTAGCCTGTGGCATCAGCAGTATCCTCAAAACATTGTAATAGGAGGGATGTGTTTGTCTTTTTAAAATCAGTGTGCAGAAAGCAACAAGAAGCATGCGTAAAGCGGTCATTGACAAAGTGAAGGGGCAAGCGTCCACTATGGCCCGAGCCGTGATAGAACGGAGGATATCTGGAGTACGTTAGTCGATGAAATGAGTAGCGTCTAAACTGTCATCGATACCGAAGGGATATAGTAAGTGCCAGCGGCTGTAATACTTTGTCTGGTCTGCTAAAAGTCGATGAACACTGGAGGTTATTAAGAATACATGTAGTACTATTTATCTTAATCCTGAATAGATTGTAAACGTGCGCATTGGATTTGGCGGACAGCAGCTGAAAGCAGCGAATTTAGAAAAAGAGACTATGACCGGTGTGAAACTGAATATCGATAATGTCAGAGGCCCGATGCGGGCAGTCGGTTGTGTTGATCATAGTGAATTTTAACGATTTTAATGCTAGCGACTTTTACTAAAATCAGCGTATTTTCAGATTGCACACGCAACAAGAATATGACAATCTGGAGAAAATGTACAGTGAACTGGAAGAAGAATTGCGCAAAGAGCGAATGAATGTTGTGGAATTGCAGAATCGTTTCAGTGATTTCGATGGACGATCCATCTATTCTAGGTAATGCGCGTATTTGGAATCGGGGCTCAAAATGTTTTTGGATCTGAATCTCGGAGTTGCAATAAATAGTACAGCATCAGTGCGATAGGTCATGGAATTTTTAAGGACAAATTCTTAAGTTTATTAAATCTAAAGCAAAGACGCAGACAAATTTTTTCGAAAAAAAGGCATTTTTGAGAGATTCAGTAAGAATGAAGCAATTTTAGCTATGTTCCGCCTGTGCACATTGGAAGCTTTGATAAAAATTGGCCAACGCACGGGCTGCCCGTGCGAAGATGCGTTTTTTGCAGAGTTCCCCGCAG